TCAGGATTCATTAAAACATTAGAAATTCATTTGACTTATATAAAGTTCTGTTTGTTTTCATTTAAGGCTATATGCTGATGACTTGACGGTCACTGCGCCGCCTACAGGTTGTGCAGAACAGCGCAGCCAGGTTCCTGACTGGGACCAGGAAACGGGACCACATCAGTCCGGTACTGGCCTCCCTGCACTGGCTTCCGTTCTGTTATCGTTCACACTTTAAACTCCTCGTCTTTAACAATTTCTTCCAGGGTGGTGCTCCCCCCTATCTAGCCACACTCCTGAACAGACATTCGCCATCACGCGCTCTGTGCTCCTCTGACCAAGGCCTGCTCGCTGTCCCTCGTTCTAGGTGTCGTACTCGTGGGGACCGGGCTTTCTCAGTCCTAGCACCGTTACTCTGGAGCCAGTTGCCACCCTCAGTCAGGCTGTCCCCATCTCTGCCAGTGTTTAAGAGTTGCCTAAAAACCCACCTCCTCCGCCTGGCGTTCCCTGAATGTGTTTGAGTTCGGCCCTCTTCTATGTTGTTTTATTTCCCTGCTTTCATTGGTCTCTTTATCCCTTGTTTTACCCATTTGTTTCTACTTTAATGTTTTTACTTCTTTGCACTATTTGAATTGCTTTTATTATCAATTTATTCATCTTGTTTCACATTTCTCATGTACCATGTTCAGCGCCTTGGGCTTCCCGACGGAAGGCTCTTTATAAATAAAGCTTTGATTGATTGATTGATTTGTGGTCCTAGAGGCGTATTTAATGAAGGCTTGTGATCTGCTGATGTAAAAGTATCAGTTTATGGGTTTTAAATAAATTCCTAATCTGTGAGTTCCTGATGGAGCTCGCATGAACGCTAAAGTAGAACTAGAGCACAAACAAATGTGTTTTCACTGTTACGGACAGGTGTCTTGTTACAGCCGGAGCCGTGAATGAGCGGAAACCAGCTGCCACACAGGAAGTGAGGTATTATCTCTGTGCGTCAGACCCGACGGGAGTTCTGCCTTTCAAACTAAAGTGCAAAAATACATTTTATAGGAAAAATGTCAGAAAATCATCCCAATGGGGCCTTTTTAGACTTTTGTTTTAAACATGTAAAAGAAATAGCCAAGACATGCAAGAACTGTGCAATCACACAGAACTTACGTAAGTGCTCTATTAGCACTTTTCAAACTCACTAAAATCTTGCTGATTAGGTTCAACAGAGGCTGCAAGTTCCTACAGATTTACTGTATTAGGCGGGCGGAGCGCTGGAGACTCGTGTGCAGTTTTTCATGCCAGAGGTAGTGAAAGCTGACGTCCTTCTCTGAACCTTCTTCTGAACTCCTCTCTGGTCACAAGGCAGACCCACTTTCTGCTAAAAGACCCTCATTTAGCAAATAAGTTACAAGTTTGCCCTCAAGTTTAAAATACTTCAGCTATTCACACAAATTTTACACAAGCAGTGAAAAGCTGATGACCTGATGAATAACAAAGCAACAGTTTAATTAAAATGAGTAATATAATAGAAAGGAGATCACTTTTCCACTTCCTGCCAGAAGACACACGGCTGAAAGGACGCCACCCACCGTCCACAGCAGCTCGTGCCTCAGAGAAATGTTTGTAAAACTACACTTCCCCCTAGCTGCCTTCGTCTCTCTGAGCCTAGCGGTTGTTTCCTGATTCCAGTCTACAAACTTTTCCTCAAACGGAAGGAAACGCAGCACTTCCCAAACATGACATATAAATGGCTCAAGAGGCCAAGAAAAGGTCATTTTTAACGTTCATCCCATATTAAATCTAAAGCAGTTTCATCAAACAGAACTAACGTCCAGTGGGTAGGCATCGAAAGGGCCTTGAGATTTACATATTTCAATTTACTTTTGAAAAAAAAATCAGACACAAAACAAGAACTTTGGTGTTCATGAGTGTGCAAATTGCAAAGTATATGAATTCATGATTAAACAGACAGATTGTAAGCTCCAGTTTTACATTTTCGTGCTTATTTTTTTGAAAGGTATCACAGATAATTAAGGTAATGGGCATGAACCTGAAACGGCCGTGCTTCAGTTCTGCATCGAGGTTTACAGAAACTTTACAACTTCCATTTTATTATTTACCTAGTAAACTGATGTCTTCAGGGTGTCTAATTTAGCTGCAGATCATTTCCCTAAAACAATAAAGGTTGCATTCACTTGTTCATTTAATAAATCTGCTGTGGTTTCTAGGATGAATGAATGACTTGTGAGTCATTTTCTGTCCGAAAAACACTCCGGTGATTCTGTTTCGGGGGTAGGAGTTTATCGGAGGAGTGAGGAGGGGCGGGATTGCGAGTCCTACTCGTTAATATTCATGATAGCATCTCAATTCTGATTGGCTAATAGCAACATGACTCTTTTGCTGCCTTTGTTCACTCTTCCTTATTCGGTAGAAAATGCAAAAATGTTTCAACTCCACAAATGACACGAGTCTAAAGCCTGATTCATGCTTCTCCGTCTGCGTCATCGCGGAGACACGCAACGTCCTTGCGTGCCTGCTGGAGAGCTCCGCAAGGACGGACGGAGTCTAGCTCTCTTTTCTAAACATCCGTCAGTCGAGACAGACAACGCAAGCTTGTGATTGGTCAGGGCACCGCTGTTGTTTACAGCGCCGCCATTGTGCCCTCAAAAACATAAAGAGAGCCGAGGATAACAAGCGGCAGACACGGAGAAGCTTGAAGAATACATCGCGCAATAAAACTCTAAAAACATGAATGTTTAATTCCCCCGTGACTGGAGGAGTGAAAAGATGCACAGCAAGCGTTTTATTTGTGGACGGAAATGACAGGAAACGTGGGTTTAGAGGTGGCGAGAGCATGAAGAGGTGGAGGAGGATGGGAGACAAATTTGTCCGTGTTAAAAGTCTCTTATATACACAAAAAACACAATATAAACACACTATCTTGGACCGATACATGACAGGATACCACAGAACAGCGCTACGTCCTCTGTTGTCCTGCCGGGGAATTGCTTTGCAACACTCTCCAGGAGACGGAGAAGCATGAGAGCAAAACGCTTCCGTCAATCCGTGCGCGTCTGTCCCTTGCGGAGCTGACGGAGAAGCATGAACCAGGCTTAAATGTGTTACGCCATGTTGTGAAGTTGTTATTGCTAATGGTTAGCTTCTAGCCCAGACAACTCTGCTCTCTACTTCCTGTGGGCGGTCACAAGCCGCAGTGAGCGTGGCCACATTCATGCTAATTTCCCCCGTGACGTATAAAAGATGGCTTTATCTGAACCATGTATTTTTTTTCTTCAGCTAATGCAGGTGAATGGTAAAGACCATCTTCATGCTCATCCTGCATGTGAAGCTTAAAGTTCAGGACCTTATTTCAAAAGGAAGAAATATTATATTGTTGTTGTTGTTATTATTACAAGTTTTCAAACGAGAACTTTTAAGAGCAACGCAGCAGAAGGGACTCAGTTTTAAAGCTTCAGCTTAATAAAGTATTAACAAATTGGATATGTGATGCTAATACTTGTAGCGATACAAACATGAGATAAACAATTCACTTTCTGGCTAACTTAGCCTAACAAAAAGAGACACTGACCATAACTAGGGACGGGAATCTCTAGGCTCTTCGTGATTCAGTTCAGAGGGCTGCGACGCAACGATGAAACCATCATCGATGCACTGCCTTGTGTCTCTGTTGTGTGCTCCCCATAAATGGTCCTGTCCCTGGACGTTAATGTTCCACCTTTCTACATTTCTCACTGCTGCTTTATTATTCACTATTCATAAAATACATTTTAAACTTGATGCAGCATCGTTTTGTCTGCATCACAATGTTACACACGCTTGCTGCTATCAACCACTGATGTAGAAAGTAGGAGCGCAACATCTCCACCTTCTGCTGTTGAAAAACAAAGCCAAAATGTGCCATTAGGAGTGCTGCCATGTTGCCTTATGCTCCCCCTCACCTCGGTGTAAGGCCTGTAGATGACTAACTGTTTGTAGTGATGCTTCCGCCCTTTGCAGAGCTGACTGACTCCCATTAAAGATGGCTGCCAACGCTAATTTCAATCTTTTAATACAAAAATGAGTGTAACTGTCATTTGTGCAGGTAGAGAAGTAAAATTTGATGTGGTCGTGGCTGAGAGTCATTCCCAACACATTCTCCAAGGGCTTGTAGCTGATGCTAGGTGTTGTGGTTTTGCATGAGATGAACATAATTGCTAAGATTGGATTAAAACGTAAGATAATTTTGGTTTACATCTCTGGCATGCACGATGGAAGGTGACACGGATAATTATTTTCTATCATTTACCAGTAAAGCATCAGCAAGACCTCTGGGTCTTCCATCCTCTGGCACTTGGAGTGCACCGCCTGCCTCTAGATGACACCCAAACAGCTTCAGCAGTCACGTGTTTCATTGAAGGGTCCAGGGCGATCACCGGCACACCGAGCACCTGGAGGCAGAGCACCTGGCTGCTTCCCATCGCTGTGTGATAACGTGTTCGGAGAGAGAGCGCTGGCCCTTTAAAAGCTAAGATGGTGCCTTGCAAGCTGCAGCAGCTGCCTTCCGTTTCCTACCTGAACTACCAACACACACACACGCACATACACAGAGAGAGAGAGAGAGAGAGAGAGAGAGAGAGAGATATATAGAGAGAGAGAGATAGATAGAGAGAGAGAGAGAGAGAGAGAGAGAGAGAGAGAGAGAGAGAGATATAGAGAGAGAGAGAGATAGAGAGAGAGAGAGAGAGAGAGAGAGAGAGAGAGAGAGAGAGACGCAGAACCTTCCGTGTTACGCGTGGAAATGACAGGACATGATGCACTTGCAATGAGGTCGCTGTTACAAAACTCCCCCAGCACTAAAGCGCCTGAAAGGATGCACTTGTCCGTCACGCAGCTTCTGTTCTCTGACACGCGCATTTGGCGCATGTCAGGCTGACATTGTCCCCCCTGCTTGCGCACGGGCAGACCACCCACACAGGTAGATGACTCCCGTCTTTCCGCCGACCAGGGCAAAGCCAATAAGCAGCACTTACTGTCTTGTTACGGGTCTCCGTGTGCATCTCGGTTGCCAGAGCGGTGCGGCGGCGGAGGGGTGGAGCAGCAGGAGGGGTCGATCGGGGCTTTGGGTGTAGCACTATCTGAACTGTCAGAGGGGAGAGAGGAGGGTGTGGAGGGGGCTGGTTTTTTCCACCTTTACGGGCAGTTTTCGGGATATAGGAACTCGGTCCCTGCCTCTTCCAGTGTGTCTTTTCAGTTCATGTCCGCAGCGTCGACGGGCTCCCTGGTTCCCCCCAAAAACACGGCCAGTCTCTGCGCGTCTCTCCCTCTCTGTGTCTGCTTGTTGTTGCCGTGAATTCAAGGGCTGGGCTCTCTCTCTCTGCCTTTTCCTCCTCCGCCTCTCCCTGCTTGTGACCCCACCCTGCGTCCCCACCCCTCATCTCTCTGTCAGTCAGGAGCTGCGCAGCCCTGCAGAGGAACCAAGCGGAGCGGCGCGGCGCGGCGCCGGGCAGCCGACGGCCGGGAGCTGGAGCTCGGTCTCACGCAAACGCAAGAGGAGTGGGGGGTGAATATCCACCAAGTTCGTGCATCCTCATAATTCAAGCTGCTGCTGCAGCTTTTCAGGTGATGAACACAAAGTACCCTGACGTCAGCCAAGAGAGCTAATTGAGGGTGGAGAGGGTGTGTGAGGCTGTGTAGGATTACCTGTGCTGCTCATCTCTAATGAAAGACACGCTTACAGTCACACCCTCAGCGATAAAGCCGGGTGTGGCGCAGGCCAGGATTCTTTTGCACTTCATTTCCTTGTGCGGTTTTTTTCATAACAACAAAAAAAAGGCCTGTTGGGACTTATTTCCACTTAAAAATACTGTTTTGTGATATAACTAGGAAGGTTTCTTGTACTATTCTAGTATTTTATCTAATGAAAACACCTGTTTTTGTTCTACGTCTCTAAATTCCCTTACATAAGTACTTATTTATTTTCCAGGACCGTGTTGTTCCCTTCTCTGATAAACTACATTACCCACAAGTCTATACCGAAACTGAACGTCTTAACGGGAAGCATGCGGAGGTAAACAACAGAGTTTCTCATACTAATCACTTCCGTGACATGTTGGATATAAATAGAAGTTAGTGTTTTTTTTTTAACTTACATTTTGGGAGGAAAACGCTGGCTTGGCTTTGACTCGCCGTGTCACTGTTGTCATGGAGATCGTAACAGCTAGCCAGGCTAACGTTAGCATGTAGCAGCTACATGTTTTGCTACTGTTTTTAAGCATTTGTATCTTTTGCTTAGTAGTGACCTTCCGCTTCATAACGGATTTCTGTTCTGACTACAGAGTTCAAATGTTTTAAATAACAGTCTCACAAGTTTTAGGCCAAAATATAACATAAACACACGATAAGCAACATTGTAGCATTGTGACTGTAGCCTATTTGACAACGAAACAGATAAAATATGCTAAAATAAGCTGGAAGTGTTAAACTGGTTTTATCCAGATGCTATTTATTGCAAACTTCATCTGAATCAAATCGAAAATGTTTGTTATTCATACATATACGCACACACTCTGTGTGTGTGTGTGTGTGTGTGTGTGTGTGTGTGTGTGTGTGTGTGTGTGTGTGTGTGTGTGTGTGTGTGTGAGAAACACAACAAATTAAAACATGCACACAGAGGCATACACAGTTTTTCCATCCCATCTGATCATCAATAATATTTCCCTATTGAACTTAGTGTCACGTATTTTATAATTATTCACATTTTGCTGAAAAAAAATGCTTTAAATTGATCAAGTAGCCTAGATGTTATGGTGATAAAACATTAGTTGTGCGCCGGACTGATGTGCTTGTGTTGAATCTGTCAGAGTGACTCGGCGAGTGTGTGAGGAAGGCCCGCTGCTGGAGGAGCAGGAGACGGAGGGCCAGCGGCAGCTGCACAGCCTCTTGCTGCAGCAGCTCCACACAGACGTCGACATCGATCGGTTTGTCTGTCACTTCACTTCATAAACATAAATGCAACCATAAGAGTTCCCATGATGATGTCAGACAGGAGTCTCTACGGACTTTGATGTTTGCAGATGGCATCGAGTAGGGTGCAGGTAGCGGAAATGCTAGAGAGATGAAGATGTGTACTGTAAAAGAGAGGAAAAAAGTCAAATTATGTGTGTTGAAATAAGAGGGACACAAGTGAGAGCAGCCATCTTGTCCAGTTTAGAGACAGTGTCCAGGAGGACAGACCTGGAGGTTGAGGTTCTCTTGGAGAGTTAGAAGGATGGATAAGATCAGGAATGAGTCCATCAGAGAGACGGTTCATGTTAGATGTTTTGGCGATGACGTCATAGAGGACAGACTGAGATGGTCTGGACACATCCAGAGGAGAGACAGAAGGAGGCTGAGAGGCAAATCAGCAATCAGATCTATGGATGTGATGAAAGAGGATGTTAAGGGAGAGGATCTAGAAGATGAGACAGATGATTGGCTGTGGAGACGTCTGAAGGGACAAGATCTAAGAGAAGAAGTTTAAGTAGTTCTGCATGTGTTAGGATGGCTCAAGCAGCGAATAATACCTGCTGTAGATGGCTCCGGGAACAGCCTCAGCTGGGAGAAGATGAGATTAGTTTTGACCAGACAGCTAGTCACAGCAGGGTCAGCTCCAAAGCAGATGCATGTGAACAACGTCACAGTGGTCGTAAAGAGTTTAAATACACTTCTGTTTTTATTCATAGAGATTTCCTGGTTTGTATTAGTCCGGTTTTAGCGCCAAAGCCGTAGCCGCTGCTTTATTCCCCTTAGACTCTTCTTGTTTCTATTGGAAGCTTCAGATAAATTCTTCCATCCAAATCTTGGGTCTGTTACCTCCAGCTTCCAGCAGAGCAGCCTGGAGGTTTTAATTACACTCAACCCTCCGAGCTGCACAATCACTCGGAGTCGTTTATTCTTGTAAAACATCAGAGGGGACATTCAGGTCACTCGGCTGTAAAGCTGGGAGTCTGGTTTTTCCCTGCAGCTGCTTTCTGAGTCTGACAAAACCAGACTGTAAACATCACCCTGAAGTCCGCTTGGTCTTACAGATGCGTAGCCAAGAGGCAGTGCTTCGCCCCTGCGGCGCTCTATCGGCCGTTCGGCGAGCAGGCGGCCGGAGTGAGGAGCCTCTCCCAGTTTCAGGCTCTGCAGGATGGAGAGCAGGAGCTGGCCCGGCTGAGAGAGCTGGGCCTCACGGAGGCTGAAATCCAGCTGTGGCAGAGTAGAGACGCTTCAGAGGCAGCAGAGAAGGTAAAACTTCCAGAAAATATAAATTTTTGTACAAAATTATACAAAAATGTGAGTTACAGAAACTCTTAAGTGATGCATGCTAAACAAACCCCTCCATGTTGCCTGCTCAGTCCCGCGGTGTGTGTCCAGCTCCAGATGCCAGGCAGCAGCGTCTCCAAGTCATCAGAGACAAGATGGACGCCAGGGTGGAACTGCTGTCCCGCCCTCAGCGCTTCGCCGCCAGCTGCCTACTGTCGCGCCGTGAGATGGAGATCGAACGAGCGCTGTTTCAGGGGAGCGACCGCCAGGGTTTCCTCTCCGCGCTCTACCACCGAGGTGTGAAGCTCTTTAGGAACCGAACAGACCTCCACATGAGGCTGTTCCTTCTTTTTTCTTTTGCTACTGTGTTTATGGAGATATGTTTATGTTTATGTATTAGCAGACGCTTTTGTCCAAAGCGACTTACAAGTGATAATCGGCATGTTGCCCTTGAGGCTAACAACAACAATAACAACAACTTGACATCAGTCATGGAGAGGAGGGAACAAGGAGTGGACAGTAGAGAGGGGGGATGGGTGCAGGGAGGGTGCTAGTTAAGAAGATGCTCTCTGAAGAGCAGGGTCTTCAGGAGTTTCTTGAAAATTGAAAAGGAAGCCGCTGTTCTGGTAGTGCTTGGAAGGTCATTCCACATTTGTGGAACGATGCATGAGAAGAGTCTGGATTGTCCTGAGCGTGGTGCAGGCACTGCTAGCCGACGATCCTGTGATGACCGGAGCGGCTGGGCCGAGACGTAAGCCTTTGCAAGAGGATTCAGGTAGATGGGAGCCGTACCATCTCGGACTTTGTATGCTAGTGTTAGCAATTTGAATTTGATGCGTGCTGCTAGCGGTAGCCAGTGAAGCTCATTGAACAGAGGGGTGACGTGTGCTCTTTTTGGCTGATTGAAGACCAGACGCGCCGCTGCGTTCTGGACCATTTGAAGAGGTCTCACAGTACAGCCTGGAAGACCAGTTAGAAGGGCATTGCAGTAATTGAGGCGGGAGATGATGGTAGACTGCACCAGGAGCTGGGTGGCATGTTGTGTTAGGTATGGTCTGATCTTTCGTATGTTATACAGCGCAAAGCGGCATGAACGAGCAACAGAGGCAACATGATCTTTAAAGGTCAGGTGTTCATCAATCGCTACACCCAGATTTTGAACTGCCTTTGAAGGAGCCAGAGATAGGAAGTCATTTTGGATTGAGATATTGTGCTGCATGGATGGTTTTGCTGGGATGACAAGTAGTTCAGTTTTAGAGAGGTTGAGTTGGAGATGGTGGGATTTCATCCATTTTGATATGTCAGAGAGACAGTTTGATATTCGTGCAGAGACAGTGTGGCCGTCCGGTGGAAATGACAGATAGAGCTGGGTGTCGTCAGCATAGCAGTGGTAGGAGAAGCCATGTGATCGAATAATCTCACCCAGTGAGGTGGTGTATATGGTAAAGAGAAGAGGTCCTAGTACAGAGCCCTGGGGGACTCCTGTGGCAAGATGGTGCACGGTAGAGGATTGTCCAAGCCAAGATGCACTGAATGATCGTCCTGTGAGGTATGATTCAAACCAGGCGTGTGCTTTCTCTGTGATGCCTATGCTAGAGAGTGTGGACAAAAGGAAGCCATGGTTCACAGTGTCAAATGCAGCCTATAAGTCGAGCAGGATAAGCTCTGAGGATTTGCCTGTCGCTCTAGCTTCTTTTAAGGATTCTGTCACTGCTAACAGAGCAGTTTCAGTGGAGTGGCTCTTTTTGAACCCAGATTGGTAAGGGTCAAGCAGACAGTTTTGTGAGAGGCATTCTGTGATCTGCTTGAAAGCCACCCTTTCAATGATTTTGGACAGAAAAGGGAGGAGAGAGATAGGTCGGTAGTTCTCCACATGATTTAGAGGAAGAGAAGTTTTTTTAGCAGCGGTTTAACCTGAGCATGCTTGAGAGGGGTGGGAAATGTACCGGATGTCAGTGAAGCGTTGATCACGTGTGTGACTGCTGCGGCTACTGTAGGAGCAACAGCTTGGAGCAGCTTAGTCGGAATGGGGTCAAGTGGGCATGTAGTAGGGCGGCTGCACGTGAGAAGCTTGGACACACAGTTCTCAGTGAGAGGGGAAAAAGAGGAAAATGAAGCAGTAGGGCCTGAGATGGTTGGGCTAGAAGGAGTTTGTGGTAGCGATTGTTCAGGAGGGGCCAGTTGAGTAAACTGCTTATTGCTGCCACTTTGTCAGTGAAGAATGAGGCAAAGGTGTCAGCTGATGGATTGTTGGAAGGAGGTGGAGAAATATGAAAGAAAAGTTTTAGTTTCTGTTCCAGATGAAGACGACGTAGATGGACAGCAGGAGGCGTCCTCCTCTGACCCCATGGGTCCTCTCTACAGAGACATCCTCACCTGTCAGAAACAAACAGGACCAACATGCAGCTCTGAAACCGTCCAATCACAAAGCTCCCAGAACCCCAGCAGTCTACAACCTACAGAGTCTTCTCACCATCAGTCGGATCTGCAGCGAGACGCCTCAGAGCAGCAGGATGAGAACAAGTTACAGCCGCAGCGACTAGTACCGATAAATCTAAACCAGCCAATCGGGAGCCTGTGTGGAGCGGCAGGGGCAAGGTCAGGAGCACGGCTCGCCATCAGCGGGGAGATCGAAATGATTCCAGAGGAAGAAATCCTGAACAGCCGCGCACCCGAGGAGGAGATCCTGAGCATCCCGAGGTTCAGGAACTACCGTCCAGGAAAACCTTCCAAGGTTCCAGCAGTTTGTTACCTAACCTGTGTGTTTAAGCGGTATGAACCTAAACCTGATCCACCTCCTCTCACAGGTTCTGTGTGTGAAGAACTTGAGCCGGCAGGCGTCCGTAGCCCAGCTGGTGGCGCTGTTCTCCAGATTTGAGCGGAAGAGCGAGGCTCCGGTGCTTTACCGGCTGCTGACAGGAAGGATGAAGGGTCAGGCTTTCATCACGCTGCCAGGTGAGGACGTGGTTCTCAAAGATAAAACGTAACGACCACAGAAACGGATCTAAATGAAGTTCTTTTAAACGTAAAAATTCAAGTTTTTAATCCACGTGACTTAAAACTTGAGAACTAAAACATTTAAACGAGGAAACAAGTGATCCTGTTTACTTTGATAATTAAATGAATGTAACCTCGGTGGTTTCTTTTTCGACAGACGCAGAAACGGCCCAGAATGCATTACAGTTGGTCCATGGATACCGGTTGCTAGGGAAGCCTTTGGTGGTTGAGTTTGGACATGAACGTCAGGAAGTGGAAAAACAACGAGCAGGAAGCGTGGAAAGAGACGGTGCTGATGCTATGCTGAAGTCTGGCCAGCAGATGTCACTCTTAATCGGGTTCAAATGATTCACATCACTGAAGTATCCATCCATCCATCATCTAAACCCGCTTATCCACACAGGGTCGCGGGCGGGGGGGGCTGGCACCCATCTCCAGCAGTCTCCGGTCAAACAGGGTACACCCTGGACAGATGCCAGCCCATGGCAGAGACACACAAACAAGCACACACACACACACACACACACATCAACCTGACAGTCACGTGGGTCAATTCAGTAGAGTGTGAGAATGGAAGTAGTTGAGAAATAACCAGAATCTGAAGGGACAGTGAACACGAGGACACCTGGGAGGAGGGAGAAAACGTGGACAAGTGCATTGGAGCGGTGTGGAACGTTGCAAGGAAGCACAGGAGCGGGGAGCAGGCTTTAGCGAGTTAGAAGTGCCAGTCCTCACTCCTGATCAGTAGGTGGCGGCAACGCGCCTCAACGTTGCTTCATAGCCGCCATAACGCCACAAAGAAGAAGGAAATGTGGAAGGGACTGTGGAGGCGGGGACACAGGACATGACACCTGCATCCTGCTGTTTCGCCTGCACACACCTGAGCGTCAAAGAAGCGTTCACGGTAAAGTGGAGTGTTGTGCGAGTGTCTCGCCTCTATGCTGCTGTTGTCGTTTATATCAGCAGCTGTAGGGGGAGTCGAACTCGCAGCCAAAGCTTTGGACTGGGCTGTTACTGCTGGTGCCCACGTCTACACCCAGAATGAACTCAGACATGGCTGCTTTGGTTGTGCTAACTGATGGACGTCATCCTGCAGCTGAAGTCCACACGGGTGCGTTTGTGGTTTACAAAAAAATAAAACTAGATGTCATAATCTGGTGAAACGAAGCAAACTAATAAGGAGGATTTTGTTGTTAATACATTTGACGTCAAATGTTTCGAGCTTTTATACCTTGTTTATTTTGCACTAATGTCCATTCGTTTGAATTTCTCTAAAAGTTCTCTTGTTGGCTCTTCCTTCTTCCATCTCAGGAACGTTGCTAAGCTGAGTCCCATTCTGTCCCGCTCTGAACGTGAGACAGTTCTCCACACCTTCATCTCCTCACGCTTAGACTACTGTAACTCTCTTTTCACGTGTCTGAGCAGAACCTCCCTGAACCGTCTACAGGTGGTTCAGAATGCCTGTGCTCGGCTTCTGACCAAGTCCTCCAAACACACCCACATCACCCCGCTTCTCCTCCAGCTTCACTGGCTGCCAGTCAACTTCAGGGTTCATTTCAGGATCCTGTGTAAATACAGTTGAAGCAACTTTTTTGTTCAAATATTCACCACAAGATGGCACTGTGATTTTGTTAATGCCCTAGAAAGTTTATTTAAAGTATTATTTTTCATGTTTTCAATACATTTCGTAGCATTTACAGGTGCACAGAGTTAATAATTTTTTGTATTTGAGTAATTTTGAATTTGTTTATTTTGATAAGGTGTGTTTAAGAGTGCTGTGACGTCACTTCCTGTCTCATAGCTTCTGAGATTTTATTGATGCGCACGGACAATTTGTGCCATTTAAGAACATTTGAGAAGAAGGTAAAGTGTTTTCAAGTCTACCGTTTTGTCTACTAGCAGGCCAAAGTGGTTTGTTTATTCTTTATTTATAAACTGTATGTTAGCAAACTTAAGGCAAATAACTTGTTAATTTGTACATGATTTATGCTTTTTCATCAGTTATACAGTGTTCATGTGGTGTAAAGATAAAGAAGATGCAAGACCGCATTAAACATCAGTAAAAGGAACGCTCATGTCTCTCGTGTATGTAAACAAGCTGGCACATCCTGGTTCTGAACTATAGGGCCTTACATGGACAAGCACCATTTTACATTGTTGATCATCTCAGTCCCTACACCCCCAGCAGGTCCCTGAGGTCCAGTGATCAAAGCCTACTGGTTGTGCAGCACCAGGCTATAGCATGGTTTATGCTTGACGCATTCACTTTCCGCGCGGTGATGCGGCTCGCGGATGGAACGCGCTTCACAACTTGCAGCGTTTATGGTTCATGCGGCTCGTCTCTGCGGTGAGCCAATATTCTCCCAAACTGTAGGGGGCAGCATGGAGCTCTACAGCATGCTTCCAACACTACACCATAGTAGAAGTAGAAATGACTGTTTACAACATGGCATTCCAGCATTTTAAACAGCGTCCTCGTCTTTTCCGACAGTGCGAGCTATTTCTCCTCAAGAATTATTAACAACGTGTTGATCACGGTGATCTCTGAGAGCTGAATCGTACACACGTCTGTATTTACCAAACTCTGCCATACTAGTTCTTGCCAGTCCGCCGTGTTTTTCTGTGTCCGACCGTCCGCGTGGTTAGAAAATTTCCTAGGTGTGCAGTGCCGAAAGTTTGGGCCGTGCGGAGGCGCGGTGGAGGGGCGTGGTTATTAAAATGACGCAATTTCGCCGCGCGGAGCCGTGCGAACCTCGCAGACGCGTCAAGCATAAACCAACCTTACGGGTCAAAGGTGACAGATCATCTGCTGCTGTGGCCCCCAGACTCTGGAACTCTCTCCCCCTGAGCCTGAGATCAGTGGACTCAGTGGTCTCCTTTAAAAAGCAGCTAAAGACTCACCTGTTCAAGCTTTGGTGTGACCTTCATCACCCTCTCCTTGTTCTGCTCTCCCCACCTATTCCACCTTCCTCAGGATCCACTGATTTCCCTCTTTCCTGTTCACTCTCTCTCTTTACATATTTTTAAATCACAATTGTCTATTTTTTGCTCATTTTAAATATATTTTTAATAATCTAAATTCTTTTTTATATTTTTACATTTTTTTTTTTGTTTTTATGAAGCGCCTCATGATTTTTTATCTTGAGGCACTATAGAAATGATATTTTCTTCTCTCTGCTGCACATTTGGATCTGAAAACGCTGAGTGTTGACTTTGTTCTCATGTTGAGATTGTGTTGCGCTTTCCCACAGCTCTGGGTCCGCCGGTGATTCTCTCTTCTGGTTGTTTTCTCTCAACCCAAGCTGGTTTTTCCTTCCACTTTTATAAGAGATGGCTGCCGCTTAGCTGGAATATGTTTACTTATATAAGGACAAAATATGAAACGCGTTTACTCTTATTTAAGAATTTAGAATTTCTGCATGAAAGGATTTTAAAGCGGCTTTTAAAACTTAAACTGCACAAACATCTGTACAGTTCAGTGTTTCTGGGCCGACCCATTTGACCACCTTGAGCCATCGATTGGATTAAAGTGAGGCTTCTGTTTGTTTTTGTCTGTTTGTGTCCATCTGCTGTTTGCATTCAGGTCAGGGCTGCGATCTTTTTCCCATTCACACACAAAAAACACGTGTGTGAGTGTCAGCCGCTATACTTTCACACAACATAAATGCTGTTTCTGGAGCTTCAGGAGAGTCCTTGGACACAGGGAGGTTTTCTCGCCAAATTCAGTAAAACAAATATCAGTTTGCAGGACCGAGCAGACGCAGACATGAAATGAAGTACTTTAAACAAATGAAATCTGTCAAGGTGGTAAAAAAAAAAGACAAAAGACCAGCCAAGAGCTGGAGCTGGGGGAAGGGCTTAGGGCTCAGAGAAACCAGGGACCAGGTGGGAAAGTTGAGAAACAGCTGGATGGTTAGCAGCTGGATTACATGTGACTTTTTTTAAAGGGACAATGTTAATTTTCCCTGGCGATAGGGGGCCAGTACAAACCTGAGTCATTACAAGCGAGCAGTATCTTTGTGTTGGAGTAAGGCCGTACCAACGGATGGCCATTAGGGTAAAAAATCTCTGGGAGCGCAACCTCCAGCCAAATGACACATAGACTCCCTTTCATCCCTGGCAACGAGTGAAGAGGTAACGATGTAAAACGTTTGTTATAAATCAGTAAATGCATTTTGTCCTCACGGGCTCCCGTACAAGGAAACATGGCGTTGCCCAGAGATTGGACCCGCCCCCATGTATATTAGACACGATTTTATGGTAATATGCTATGAAGCTTCCAATATTTTTCCACAACTGGGCATCATTTAATTCATTTTCAACAACATTTCCATGCATATTTCCAGAGAGTGATGGTAAAAACTGCACACTGTCTCTTTAAGTAGAGGCCAGACTGAGCTCTGCAAGCATTATTAATGTCTATTGGTGATGTTCAAAAACACCAAAGCAGGCTGGTGCTAAATCTGGAGCTTAAATAAGAAAATCAGAGAAAGCAGAGCCAACGGCACTTTTAAACCAGTGGCGGAACTTCGGGGGGTCAGTAAGGGGCAGAGTATTAGGCCCAGTCCACACGTAGCCAGGTTTTTTGAAAACGAATATCCACCCCTCCAAAAACTTGCATCCACACCACCGCGTTTAAAAGAAAAACTGTCCACACATACCCGGAAAAATACGTTGTTAAGGACATGCCAGACCTGTAGGCGGCAGTACTTCCCCCGTTCTTAACCTCGTCCTTCGTCTGTGATCTTCCGCAAGGAGCAGTAATTCCACTTGCAAAAACAAACAAGCAAAAAGCGCTTGGACAATTGATGGATCGGGTAGTGACAGAGCGCAGCTCTGAGGGCTTCCATGATGCCGGCTAGTGTAAACACAGGTCGCACACGTGATGTCAGCATTTTTTTTGTCGCGGAAAGTGATGTTGCGGACCTTAAAACTCCGGTTTTGTCTGTCCACACGCAGACACCCAAAACGGAGAAAACGCAGATTTTTGTGTGAAAAAACTTCGTTTTCGTGTGGATGACAGGCCAAAACGTAGAAAAATATCTACGTTTTCGCAGATCCCCGGCTACGTGTGGACAGGGCCTTAGACAGACCTCCTTACACAAGATTTCATGCTGGTAGTTCCTGTTTGACTCTTTAGTGCCTCTAGGGGTTGGACTCGGAATTGCAAGGACCGATTAATGACTGGACAAGGGCAATTCAGGGGCCAATGACCCTGCGGCCCCGCCCCTACAACCGTCAATGGATTAAACTCAATACAAATAAAATGATGGGTCTGCAAGTTAAAGGTCAAAACATCCCATAATTGAAGCTTCATTTACGTCTCATCTGAAGGAGTGCTAAAATAAAGTTAAACATATCCAGTGATGTCATATCCTGCTGCTGTAGGCTTCTTAGTTCCCGGGCCCCCATGGGCTCCCGACCCTGTGCTGCCACTGGTGCTGCGGACCAGCGGCTGCAGCCTGCTGGCTATGTTCACCCCCCCCACCTGCAGCGTGGGGTTTCTGTAGGTCTGTGAGGTCGTTCGTGCCGCGGTGCCGGACATCCCAACTCCTGCTGGGTATGGATATCCCCCAGCGTTTCGTCTCCCGCGGCCACCCTCCTGCTCCTCCCAGCAAGACACGCTCAGCATCCCCCCGCCCAGCATGGAGATGAGAGCCGAGGCCAGGCCGAGGTACAGACACTCCCCAATCTCGTACTTCATGCCTGCTGGAATGTTGGGGCTGTAAAAAGTCTGGACCACCTCGTGCGTGGTCCACGCCACGGGAACAAGAGAGAACAAGCCTGCCGCCAGAAACAGCCCCCCACCGGTACCTGCCACGCGACTCTTAACCGCACCTGAGCCCTCCAGGCAAAGCGTGCACTGCATCCCCAGGGTTGACATGGTGATGGCCAGGACGGACAACACCACAGAGATGACCATGAGGGCGCGAGAGGCCTGCAGGTCGGAGGGCAGCGCCAGCATGGAGTTGTAGGTCTCACACTGGAAGGCCCCCGTGCTCTGGTAGACGCACTCCATCCACAGGCCCCTCATGTTGGCCACCACCGTCACAATGTTGGAGCCGATGTGTGCAGATATTTGCCAGTATGGCAGCACCGTGGCGACCAATGTTCCCAGCATCCCCAGAAGGCCCAGGAAGAAGCCCATCAGCTCCACTGCTGCTGATGCCATGACAGTGACTGTAACGGGAGAGACAGCAGACCGGGAGATGGATTGAGAAAAATAATTTAACCTGGTTTATGAATTATATTCAGTTTAATCCTAACGTTAACATAAATTTGTGGGAGACTTTTTTTTAAAGCTACTTTTTCAAGCATAACTTCCCCAAAACAGTCCAAACTGCTGCTTTGTAAGCTTTTGGAGCTAAATAAAACGTATCCAGTTTAGACAAATCTAAAAGTTTTACAATAGTTTGGATTAATCCATAAACTTTTACGTCTTCTTTTGAGCATTCAAACACCTTCCTAAGTCTTAAAACCTCAAAAATGTTACGTGTTACCTACAGATCCTGCTGTTTAGAGAAGAGCCGGATGATGGAGTTGGAGTCAAAGACTCGATAATGTTCCTTTTGCTGCAGGAGCCGAAGTTTTAGCTGCAGAGGAGGAGGATGACGGCTGCAGTCACTGGCGGTTTTCCCCCGGTACCAAATTTTCTTCTGGTCCAGTCAGACTCTGCCTGCTCCCTTTGCCTCGAACATAGTGGCAGCTGTTGAGTCGCTGCTGCACGATCAGACTCTGAGAGCCAAACAAATACTTTTAGGACTAATGCCGTCGATGGAAGAAATGCAGTCCTCTGAGTTTGATGAAGTGCTTGTTGCAGGTGATCCACTTAGAAAATGAATAAATCAAAACAAGGAAACCCTGCCGGCTGATTTTCCGTCTCTCATCTCTGTGGGTCGGATGCTTCGCTGTCTTTGTTTAAAAGTCCAGCGTGTGTCCTTCAGACCTTCACCTGCTGTCACGTACACAAAACACCGCTCTGATGGTGACACACATTCCCACCACCAGCCAGGTTAATCATTTTCTCATCTGTCATTTCTCCAGAAAGCAGACCTTTGTTCCAGAAAGGTCAGTGGCCACCTATGAGATAAAGACAGGTTCAGGATTTCATTTTAGATGGACAAGTTACAGTTTAATGTATGTTTAGATCTTCTTTTTCCGGACAGATGGACTTCCAGCTCCTGGTGCATCTTCAGCTCTCATGCAGAGAGAAGCTGCTTGTGTTGATTTTCCTGTCACTGGCTGATGACTATCAGTAAACATAACGATTGACCCAATCTAAACGTGTCACCGGTCCATTAACCCATATGTCTTCCACACATCATTCTCACATCTTCAATCATAAACAGAAATGCAGAAAAATGATCCCACATTTGAGTTTTTTTTTTGCCTAAATGTGACCAAATGGCAACTAATCTACCATCCAAAGAGATCCCATTCAAATCAGTGGTTGTGATTCCGTCAAGTTCAACAGGACCAGTAAAGTATTTCAAACTGAAAATTTAAATTAAAATATTTGTTTTTATTAAAAAAACTTTTATTTAAGCTTTAATTTGTGTTTTTTTTTTTGTTAATTCTGTGAAATATTTATTACATTTAGTTCAGATTCTTTAGCCAAATTATGAGAAATGTATAATTATTATTACTATTAAATCCCTTTTGGGCATTTATACAGTTAAACATTCTTATGTTTTTTTGACATCTATAGAAACACCTGTTATATAAAACACTGGATTATTAAAATGTCCACAAATGTACAAATAAAATAGCTTTTTAGGATTAAATGATAATTTCTGTGAGTTTAATTTGATTTTCTTCCCTGGCTGCGTACAGAAGTGCTGCAGGGAGAAGTTACAGCTCCCTTTAGCTGACACCAGACTTGGCAAGCTTCAGTTTTTCATATAAGTGTTGGCTTGTCCATTTTAAGACTGATGATATCAATAAATTTATTTTTAATCTCAAAAATAAAAATAAGACGTACCAAGCCGGGGTCAGAAGGTGAAGCTCGTCCTCCCTCGTTGGTCAGCATCATCTAAACCATCAGGTCATTTTAATTAGTCTAAATCATTAAAGTCGCCGGGTTTGCAGCTGATCCAGCCATCGGGTGCTGATCTGTCCAGGCGGGCCTCACGGGGCTGCAGCATCATAATGGGATTAGAGTGTAATCCAGCCACTTCCTCCACAAAGCGGACTGAGAGAGCAACGTCCACACACCCTGAAACACTGAGCCTTTATTAGAAACCACAGAGGGGCATTATTTAGACACGCTGCATATTAACGAGCCGCTCAGGTCAGCTTGTGACCCTTTGTTGTCATGTTGCAGCAGCCTGGTGGACAACACTTGTGCTTGTGTCGCTCCAGAAAGACCGGAAATATCACTGGTGATACGTGCACGATGGGGCTCTGAGATGCTGGGTGGAGCTTGAATCATCTGATCTGTGCATGCGTGGAGAGAACACGCTAACTCCACACAGATAGGCTGCAGCTAGGATTTGAACCTGCAACCTTCTTGCAGCAATGTTATCAACTGCGCCACCATGCAGCCCTCATTAATAATAATTCATTAAGCAAAATAAGTGGGAGACGTACGTCCAATCAGCAGGGGGGGGCAGATCTGGACAGGATGTCATGCGTCTGACAGTGTGAGCGTTCTGTCACTGTGACCCGATTAATCATGCGCCCTGGCTACTTTACCAAGGGAGATGACTGTTTGGCTGACTGGTTAGTGTGTGTGACTCTCACTCAAGAGTCCATGGACCAAATCCCAATTGGACCTTTTTTTTTGTATCCGCCACAGATCTCTCTGAAGAACTCACAACATTGACGGCTTCAGCACCGCTGTGCCACTCCGTCGATTTTCTCTTATTTGTTTGGCAACAGCACTTCCTTTCATTTCTCCACCTCGCCCACAGGTACCTCAATCTCTGCTTCGGTGAAATAGCGCCTCCTTGATCTGCGGTTAATGGCGGAGCGCAACAACGAGCCGGCTTATGTATGTGCATGAGGTCCACAAGGCACTTTGCATTGACCATTTATGGCAGTAAGTGGGCATGGTGATGGCGGGATGTGATCAAAAAGCACCTGAGAACCTTTCTAGATAGTCTCAGATTTACAAAGCGGAGATTGCGTGCAGCTGTGCGTCCTCCATGTTTGATAGATCACAAACCTGCTTGGCGTGAGTACATTTTTTTGCTGAGCTTAAGTATGGTTTTAGTAAGGATTCTAGCAATGTTTGATAAATGAGACCTCTGATCTAAAGCCAGAATGAGTTTGCTAGGGATGGGTACCAAATTCGGTACTTTTTAAGTGTGGCAAGGTGGAGAAACGAGGGCCCAGGCGGGATTCGATCCCCAGACTCCCAGGTGAGAGTCATACGCTCTAACCAGTCAGCCAAAGGGACATCCCCTTGCCCAAGTAGCCAGGGCGCATGATCAATCGGGACACTGTGACAGGACGCTCACACTGTCACATAAGGTACTGACCGAATTCCACAGTACCGACTGAGCACCGATTCATGTCATTTTAAACGGTGCCTCGTTTCGGTACCTGTCCTTCGTAACGAGAACTTGCCAAGACAGCTGCGCATGCGCAAGAGCGTATTGTTGGTCGCTGCAAGCCAGTTGTAAACAGAGCAGCATGGTAGAAAGAACGCACGCCAAAGCTTGGGTCCACTTCACTAATGGGTAACTGGGTGATGATGAAACCAGCTACAACGATCTAAGTGAGACATCCTCATCTTAATCTGCTCCGGTAGGTAAATAAAATGTTTAAGAGTACGTTAGCTTCATATGTTAGCTTGATATGTTAGCTTCTGTTTCGCTAATGGTGCATTTGCTTTCCTCGGAACTCCGAATATCCGACAACATGAACGCGCTCTAAAGTTTGGCTTCACTTTACTAAATGCGACGGGGGATTGGGTCAAGATGAAACTGCAGCTGTTTTCTGTCCACCGCCAGCTTAAAGAATGTGCCTTCAAAGGATTCATCCCTCTGGACTTGTTTTCATTAAACATTAAATTACTGGTTTGGTTCTTGTCTGTAAATATGTTAACACTCACTTGACTTTAAATAGCTTGGTGAGGTGCTGATCTAATTCGCCACATTAGAGCTAGTTAAACCTGCATCAATGTAATGATCACACGTGATATAAAATTAGGCAGCACAAAGAACTCATACAGCATTTTATTATAATTGTAGGCAGACAGGAGACAGGGCTGGATGGTGGCGGTAAGGAGGTTCTGTCTGTCATGTTTTGGAGGGATGTTAGAACCCAAAATGCAGAACCCAGGATGACACGAGGCAGGAGTGGAAGAAGAAAATCCTTTTATTGTAGGACGAGTCCCAAAATAAAGAAATCCAAAGGCAGGGAGCCAAAATTCAAAAATCAGGAAATCCAAAAACACCAGGGGAACGGGCAGACTGACAGAACAAATCACGCTGACAAACAATGGACCGACAAGACAGGGCTTAAATAAACTGGGGCATGATGGGAGGCAGATGAGCTGCAGGTGTGTGGGGAGAGGACCAGGTTAAAGCAATACTTAATCAGGGAGGAAACTCACATGACCTAAGAAAAAAACCTAAAAAGAAAAGCAACCACATAATATTCTAAAGGGAAGGAGAACTACAAAGATTGGTGGGACAAACATAAAAGAGACTAATAAAATGAAAAGCTGAAACTAAACACTGCAGAGAGATGACTGGGTGCAGAGGGGTGAGGGGTGACTGGAGAAGACTAAAGGAACACAGGAGACACCTAAATGAGATGCAGACAAAGGACACATGAGGGTGCTATGAAACACAAGAGAACCTAGAGTGGGAACTGGAGGGGCTGGGGAACAAAGGGACACAGAACATGACACTGTCCTCTCAGGACCAGGAGTTGAAACATCTTCACGAGAAACTGATGTTCACAGATCTGTAGAAGAGAATGTAAGCTTCAGTAAAAGAGCCATGGCCACCAGGTCATTTACTCAGCCAGATGAGCTGATATGTTACAGGTGTGTTACTGAGGATGCACCTGCTCTCATAGCCAGATGACAGGAGTTGTCAGGTATCCTGCAGTGGCAGTCAGCTAGGCTAATGAGATGCACAAAGAAATCCAGGACAGTGAACAATAATAATGTGTTGTGTTGCTCACCATATGTGCTCCTATAGAATCTCCATGTGTGCCTGCCTCATGGTGTAGCGTCCATATTTCGCTAAGTGACCTACAGGAATGCAAGTTATTGTTAATTCACTTTTGTTACCAAAGAAACAATATTTTTGTAAAAGTTATTAACCAGGTGAACTCACAACTCGCCACCAAGTGTCACTGGACCAGAACCAGTAGCTCCTCTGTGATGTCATGATGTTCTCTAGCTCCAAGCTCACAGCAGCAACACACGTTGCTATAAAACAAAAACATAGATGTTAAAACTCAAAAGGTTGTAATGAAGATTACACGATGAATAAAAATAAATCACTTTTGCCACACCTGCAAAGCGTCATGGTAGTGATGGGACGAACGACACTGGCGCGTCAGCACAGTGTCGACTGCTCAAGAGTGAAACCCCGTATCGGTGCGTGTATCGCTTTAAGAAAATATCACGTGACCGACACAGGATTGTGTGTCGTTTGGATGCGCCGCGCCAAATTGTGTTTATAAGGAAGCAAACTGTATCGACATGTTGCGGATTTGTTGGTTAGAGTTTTGCTGTTTGCTGTTTGATTTTGGATTTTTCCTTACCTCACGCTCACTTCTCTCCGCTGACTTCATGGATCGTTCCAAGAAGTTTTCCCCAGTCTGGAATAATTTTGATCTTTTGACGCCAAAAAAGGTAAATTGTTTTCTCCATTTGGCAACGTTTACTGTTATTTCTGTATTGTAAATGTGTTTGTAGTCTTTCTCTGGTAAGAGGCTTAAATTGTTTTCAGATAAATTAACTATTTATTTTATTGTAGGTGAAGTGTCGGCTCTGCTCCACAGAGCTGTCTTACACAAATAAGAGCACTTCATCAATGCTGAGGCATTATAGAGCTCGGCATGGCAACGATGAATTGGTAGATACCCCAGGTATGTTGAAATTATCACCAAAAAATCTGAATTGTCAAAATTAGTCTATTACACACAAAAGGCTTTGTGTGACTCTGTAGTATTGCTTGTAAAATCCTTTTCATAAGCTTTTTAAAGCTTTTAAAAAAGTATTTCCTTTTGGCTTGCAGTTCCTAACAAGCAAGCAGTGGATGATGCTGTGGTTAACATGATCATCAAAGACTGCCAGCCACTCACCATTGTTGAAAATGAGGGATTCAGGGAGCTCTTGAAGCTTATTGCACCCTCATATGTTCTACCAAGCAGGAAGGTATGTTTAAGAAATGTTTGCTTTAATTAATCAACTACTTTCATGGTGTGTGTGTGTGTGTGTGTGTGTGTGTGTGTGTGTGTTTATGTAACATTGGTATTACAGTATTGGTATGTTTACTTGTAGGTCATCAAGGACTTGGTGAGCCAGAAATATGAAGAGGAAAAGGAGAAAACAAAAAAGGACCTCCAGAGCGTCATTGCTGTTAGTTTAACAGCTGATATGTGGACATCCATTAATATGGAGGCATATCTTGCCGTTACTTGCCACTATGTGGACAAAGAAAGCCATGAACTCTGTTCATCAGTCTTGGGAGTGCAGCATTTCCCTCAGAAACACTGCAGAAAACATGGCCACAGTTAAAAGGAGCCTCATGGAGGAGTGGGTCATAGCAGGCAAAGTCAGGTGTCTTGTCACTGATGCAGCAGCAAACATGATTGCATGTGCTCGAATGCTGCAAGTACGGCAAACCATTTGCATTGCCCATTCCATAAATTTAATTGTAAGAAAATCATGTGATCAAATCTCAACACTAACAGAACTACGCAACAAAGCACGGCAAATTGTGACATACTTTCGATCAAGCACCATGGCCAAGGAAAAGCTCACTCAAATGCAGCAACAGCTGGGAACACCATTGCATAAATTAATAAATGAGGTGCCGACACGATGGAACAGCACCTACCACATGCTGGAGAGACTGACTGAGCAGAAGGAGGCAGTCTGGGTGTCACTGGCCTCATTAAAAACTGATCTCACTCCACTGACTCCAGAAGAATTTGAAATCATTGAAGAGATGCTCAGGGTGCTTGCTCCTTTTTACCAAGCCACAAGAGAACTCTCTGAGGAAA